CATCGCTAGCACTGACTGCCTTGTTTCAGACAGGGTTGAGCATCTCTAGACCTTGCATCACTGCTAGCACTGACTGCCTTGTGTCAGACAGGATTGAGTATCTCTCCACCCTGTATCACTGCAAGCACTGACTGCCTTGTGTCAGACAGGGTTGAGTATCTCTCCATCCTGTGTCACTGCAAGCACTGACTGCCTTGTGTCAGACAGGGTTGAGTATCTCTCCATCCTGTGTCACTGCTAGCACTGACTGCCTTGTGTCAGACAGGGTTGAGTATCTCTCCACCCTGTGTCACTGCTAGCACTGACTGCTTTGTGTCAGACAGGGTTGAGTATCTCTCCACCTTGTATCCATGCAAGCACTGACTGCCTTGTGTCAGACAGGGTTGAGTATTTCTCCACCCTGTATCACTGCTAGCACTGACTGCCTTGTGTCAGACAGGGTTGAGTATCTCTCCATCCTGTGTCACTGCAAGCACTGACTGCCTTGTGTCAGACAGGGTTGAGTATCTCTCCACCCTGTGTCACTGCTAGCACTGACTGCCTTGTGTCAGACAGGTTTGAGTATTTTCCACCCTGTGTCACTGCCAGCACTGACTGCCTTGTGTCAGACAGGTTGAGTATCTCTCCATCCTGTGTCACTGCAAACAGTGCCTGCATTGTGTCAGACAGGGTTGAGTATCTCTCCACCCTGTGTCGCTGCTAGCACTGACTGCCTTGTGTCAGACAGGGTTGAGTATCTCTCCATCCTGTGCCACTGCTAGCACTGACTGCCTTGTGTCAGACAGGGTTGAGTATCTCTCCACCCTGTGTCGCTGCTAGCACTGACTGCCTTGTGTCAGACAGAGTTGAGTATCTCTCCACCCTGTATCACTGCTAGCACTGACTGCCTTGTGTCAGACAGGGTTGAGTATCTCTCCACCCTGTGTCACTGCAAGCACTGACTGCCTTGTGTCAGACAGGGTTGAGTATCTCTCCACCCTGTGTCACTGCTAGCACTGACTGCCTTGTGTCAGACAAGTTGAGTATCTCTCCACCCTGTGTCACTGCTAGCACTGACTGCCTTGTGTCAGACAGGGTTGAGTATCTCTCCACCCTGTGTCACTGCAAGCACTGACCGCCTTGTTTCAGACAGGGTTGAGTATCTCTCCAACCTGTGTCATTGCTAGCCCTGACTGCCTTGTGTCAGACAGGGTTGAGTATCTCTCCACCCTGTGTCACTGCAAGCACTGACTGCCTTGTGTCAGACAAGGTTGAGTATCTCTCCAACATGTATCATCGCTAGCACTGACTGCCTTGTTTCAGACAGGGTTGAGCATCTCTAGACCTTGCATCACTGCTAGCACTGACTGCCTTGTGTCAGACAGGGTTTTGAGTATCTCTCCACCTGTATCACTGCAAAGCACTGACTGCCTTAAGTGTCAGACAGGTTTGAGTATCTCTCCATCCTGTGTCACTGCAAACAGTGCCTGCATTGTGTCAGACAGGGTTGAGTATCTCTCCACCCTGTGTCGCTGCTAGCACTGACTGCCTTGTGTCAGACAGGGTTGAGTATCTCTCCATCCTGTGCCACTGCTAGCACTGACTGCCTTGTGTCAGACAGGGTTGAGTATCTCTCCACCCTGTGTCGCCGCTAGCACTGACTGCCTTGTTTCAGACAGGGTTGAGCATCTCTAGACCTTGCATCACTGCTAGCACTGACTGCCTTGTGTCAGACAGGGTTGAGTATCTCTCCACCCTGTGTCACTGCAAGCACTGACTGCCTTGTGTCAGACAGGGTTGAGTATCTCTCCACCCTGTGTCACTGCTAGCACTGACTGCCTTGTCTCAGTCAAGTTGAGTATCTCTCCACCCTGTGTCACTGCTAGCACTGACTGCCTTGTGTCAGACAGGGTTGAGTATCTCTCCATCCTGTATCACTGCAAGCACTGACTGCCTTGTGTCAGACAGGGTTGAGTATCTCTCCATCCTGTGTCACTGCAAGCACTGACTGCCTTGTGTCAGACAGGGTTGAGTATCTCTCCATCCTGTGTCACTGCAAACACTGACTGCCTTGTGTCAGACAGGGTTGAGTATTTCTCCACCCTGTGTCACTGCTAGCACTGACTGCCTTGTGTCAGACAGGGTTGAGTATCTCTCCATCCTGTGTCACTGCAAGCACTTACTGCCTTGTGTCAGACAGGGTTGACTATCTCTCCACCCTGTGTCATTGCTAGCACTGACTGCCTTGTGTCAGACAGGGTTGAGTATATCTCCACCCTGTGTCACTGCAAGCACTGACTGCCTTGTGTCAGACAAGGTTGAGTATCTCTCCAACCTGTATCATCGCTAGCACTGACTGCCTTGTTTCAGACAGGGTTGAGCATCTCTAGACCTTGCATCACTGCTAGCACTGACTGCCTTGTGTCAGACAGGGTTGAGTATCTCTCCACCCTGTATCACTGCAAGCACTGACTGCCTTGTGTCAGATAGGGTTGAGTGTCTCTCCATCCTGTGTCACTGCAAGCACTTACCGCCTTGTGTCAGACAGGGTTGACTATCTCTCCAACCTGTGTCATTGCTAGCACTGACTGCCTTGTGTCAGATAGGGTTGAGTATCTCTCCATCCTGTGTCACTGCAAGCAGTGGCTGCCTTGTGTCAGACAGGGTTGAGTATCTCTCCACCCTGTGTCACTGCAAGCACTGACTGCATTGTGTCAGACAAGGTGAGTATCTCTCCATCCTGTGCCACTTCTAGTACTGACTGCCTTGTATCAGACAGGGTTGAGTATATCTCCACCCTGTGTCACTGCAAGCACTGACTGCCTTGTGTCAGACAGGGTTGAGTATTTCTCCATCCTGTGCCACTGCTAGCATCGACTGCCTTTGTCACCTCTCCCCCACCGACACACTCATCAGCTCTATATCTTGCAACCCAAACGCACACTACGGTTCAGTCTTCTCCATGCGGAGAGGATAACAAGGTAGACCTTTGTGATAATGAAATGGAAACAATCCATTGATGTGCGAGTGTTTTCCAACGACCACTGAAAACAGTTGCTGAGGCAAAGCATATCATTCGTACAAAGTTTCGATCTTTGTTGAATACAACGGAAATAGGATCGTTTCTGGGTGCCTTGTCTGAAACTATAGCTCATCTTTCCACAGCCTCTGGTAATAATAAGGTCAATCTTCTGAGACATCCAGTCGAACAGTAGAAGACCTTGTCCCTGAAGCAAGAACAATTCCGACATAATAGGTCGGTTTCACGGCACGATAAAAACGGAATCGGCTGGAGTTTCATGGGGATAAAGATACAAATATGACAGTTCACGTACTTACTTCTTTGAGGCTGGTACTAGTTGTGACAAGACATGACTCCACCTGTAGATGGTGGGGCAGCCTACAAAACATGGCTCCACCTATATATGGTGGGGCAGCCTGTAGATGTAACAAGACATGGCTCCACCTATAGATGGTGGGGCAGCCTGTAGATGTAACAAGACATGGCTCCACCTATAGATGGTGGGGCAGCCTTTATATGTAACAAGACATGGCTCCACCTATAGATGGTGGGGCAGCCTGTAGATGAAACAAGACATGGCTCCACCTATACATGGTGGGGCAGCCTGTAGATGTAACAAGACATGGCTCCACCTATAGATGGTGGGGCAGCCTGGCTCCACCCCATACATGGTGGGGCAGATGTAACAAGACATGGCTCCACCTATACATGGTGGGGCAGCCTGTAGATGTAACAAGACATGGCTCCACCTATACATGGTGGGGCAGCCTGTAGATGTAACAAGACATGGCTCCACCTTTACATGGTTGGGCAGCCTTTATATGTAACAAGACATGGCAGCCTGTAGATGAAACAAGACATGGCTCCACCTATACATGGTGGGGCAGCCTGTAGATGTAACAAGACATGGCTCCACCTATACATGGTGGGGCAGCCTGTAGATGAAACAAGACATGGCTCCACCTATACATGGTGGGGCAGCCTGTAGATGTAACAAGACATGGCTCCACCTATAGATGGTCGGGCAGCCTGTAGATGTAACAAGATATGGCTCCGCCTATACATGGTGGGGCAGCCTTTATATGTAACAAGACATGGCAGCCTGTAGATGTAACAAGACATGGCTCCACCTATACATGGTGGGGCAGCCTGTAGATATAACAATACACAGCTCCACCTATACATGGTGGGGCAGCCTGTAGATATAACAATACACAGCTCCACCTAGGTCAACCATGGTAATTATTTTTATTGACTAAGGAAATGAAATATCTGCACTCCCTGAACAGTAGGTCATGTTGGGTCAAAGTGTACGCGTCTGTTGTTCCTACACCCTCACCCATCCGTTCACGTACCATAAACATTACCTTGTACGGGATGCCGTGTAAATCATAAGAAGTTGCCGATCGGGGTCAGTCGCCCTTTGCACGGGCAGCGGTCAGTCAGTCATCGCCGTGTACATATCTGATGCGAGTTATCAAGACAACCTAATCACAAGATAGACATTCTGCTCCTCCAGCGAACACTTCATTAATTTCCCGCTGGCCTTTTCATGATAACTTTAATTTCATCAAGCAATTTAATTACGCCGTGCCCAGCAAACGGACCAGGCTAGTCACAAGCTCGACATACTTTTGTCTGTGTGACCAGCAGTAACTGGTCAGTCGTTCATGCAAATTGCCTCCTCTCTATTACTCAGTGGCTAACTGCAGGATCGATGCAGACTTAGTCAAATTCGGAATTGGTCACAAATATAAGCATTAATCCTATGAATGTCGCCAGTAACACTTACTGATGATGGTGTTTGTAGTTGATATATATATGTAACAGACTGCTGGTTTAGACGTATATAGGTCATATATCTGTAGCAGCCTGGAGGTGTATGTATAAATGTATATAGGTGATATAAACAGCTGTTTTGTTTGTCACAGGAATAGGATGTAATACGAAACATTAACTTACTACTTTGAATTCCAGTGACTGATAGAAAACAATATCGTACAAAAACTGCATAGTTTATTTGAAAATGATATGTACAATATGGAAACGTACAAAAATCAACATCGTACGAAATGTAGACAGTACGCATGTTTGTTGGGAAGGCTTGTGCATAAACAGTAAACAAACTGTACACAAACAATAGACAATCTGTACACAAACAGTAGAGACAATCTGTACACAAACAGTAGACAGTCTGTACACAAACAGCAGACAGTCTGTACACAAACAGGAGACAATCTGTACAACAAACTGTCGACAATCTGTACGAAAAACGTCAACAGTCTGGTCACCAACGCCACACACTGTTTATTAACTGTACAGGCAATTATGACAATACTTGTTACCCAGCAAAGTATAGGTACCTCCCCTGTATCACACACGTCCCATCGTCACAGACAGGCTTACCGCCACAGACAGGCTTACCGTCACACACGGGCTTACCGTCACAGACGGGATTACCGTCACAGACAGGACTACCGTCACAGACAGGCTTACCGTCACAGACAGGCTTACCGTCACACACGGGCTTACCGTCACAGACAGGACTACCGTCACAGACAGGCTTACCGTCACAGACAGGACTACCGTCACAGACAGGCTTACCTTCAGAGATAGGCTTAATGCAACATCGTATCACATGCAACAAATACTGTTCAGATCTGTGTAAACGTCCAATCGTTTGTATAACGAATATATTTAGTAACGTAGCAACAGGATGGACCGACATGGCCGACAACGGAAATATATTATACCTTCATAACAAAATACATACTCTGTCATTGACTGTATTTCTGTATTGCGTCTGAGGAAACTATGCGTCATTGGGCCTCCCACGACTTAAACGAGGACACTTTTGTTGTTTCCACCGTCTGGTGTTAATGGAGAACATATATCATTTGCTCTTTCAGTTACTTGTAATGCTGATCCAAAGTATACTATTATCGATGAACACCTCTCCTACGGGCGAACGTTGATATTCTATATAGTAACGGTACACGTTTTGGCACATTGTGACGCCCGTCTTGTATGCGTTAATATTCCAGTGTAAAAAGAACATGACTATAGTCAGTGTTGTCAGAGAATATGTAAAGTATCTAGGAACCACATTGACAATCAACAGGTACGTTATATACCCCACGTTTATATGGCATTCATATGTACATAAGAGTATAAAATGGAAGATAACAATTTGAAAATATCTCCTGAAAACTAAGCTCCACCCTGCAGCACGTCCCCGGCTGTACGACCATCGGATATTTTCTCAATAGCTGGAGGGAAAGTGACGACGTCAGCGGCTACAGGTCCAAGTTGGCGGTGGTGGCTAAGTGTTGTTTCTTCCATGTTTGTTGTTTACTGATGTACGTGACATTTGGACACTGACAGCCAGCTGAAACGAAAATTACCAAAACATGTGTTCCTGATTCCAATAATTAACGACAGTGAGTAGCTGCTAATAACATGATGGAACCACCGCACTAACACACCAAATATTAGTCCTGACTGTCAGGGAAATGTAAGGGCAACCACTGATCGTCTGGAGCCGGGAGCCGGGAGCCGGGAGCCGGGAGCCGGGAGCCGGGAGCCGGGCTGGACCACAGGGGCTGATGTTGTAATCACCACCATCTTATACCCATGTGCGCAAACTCTACATCAGCCATCAGTAGACATCCCCGACTGAGTTAAGGCCCAGCCACGTATTCCTGCTGCGTTGTGACAGTTGGGTTAAAACAAGTGCGCGTCAATTTGTGTTTGATGAGCGCTGAGACCCCCCCACATAATGTGATTTACATTGTCAGGGCGTCTGAGTACTGTGTTTATAAAGTGTGTTAACAACGTTCACTTCATAAGTGACTGACAGCCCTGCTTAACATTCCGACAACTAGTCTTCTATTATATTACTACAGGAAGGCACAGTATTCAAAGATGTAAAGGGATTAGACTGCTGTCATGTAAAGCTGCATCTGTCAACATGAAGCTCCTCTGCTGGTGTGGGGGGGATTGTAGGGCTCTTCCAGTATTACGGTTTCAACCCTCAGAACTCTCTCAATGAAAAGAGGGGGGACGGTGTCAGACGCACTAATCCGATTCTTGATGCGTGTAAAATCTATCAGATATAATCTCGAAGGATTAGTGTTCATATCTTTCTGTGTTGCTAAAGTGTATTAAATGAACGTATAACGGAACGTCAGGTACAACAGTTGAGTTTCAGCACAGCTAGCACAGAGATCATGACAAACACTACTCAAGGTCCCTGTATATTATGTGTGACGTGTCAACTGACGGCTAGGTATAGTGACAACCCGTGGCTGTACAACAACTCTACCCTGTGACGTGTCACCTAACGGCTAGATGGAGGGACAACCCACAGTTGTACAACAACTCTACCCTGTGACGTGTCACCTAACGACTAGGTATAGTGACAACCCGTGGCTGTACAACAACTCTACCCTGTGACGTGTCACCTAACGGCTAGATGGAGGGACAACCCACAGTTGTACAACAACTCCACCCTGTGACGTGTCACCTAACGGTTAGGTGTAGTGAGATCCCTACCCTGTGACGTGCCACCTAACGGCTAGGTGTAGTGAGATGCCTACCCTGTGACGTGTCACCTAACGGCTAGGTGTAGTGAGATCCCTACCCTGTGACGTGTCACCTGACGGTTAGGTAATGTGACAACCCACAGCTGTACAACAACTCTACCCTGTGACGTGTCACCTATCGGCTACGTGTAGTGAGATCCCTACCCTGTGACGTGTCACCTGACGACTAGGTGCAGTGACAACCCTGCCCTGTGACGTGTCACCAAACGACTAGGTGTAGTGAGATCCCTACCCTGTGACGTGTCACCTAACGACTAGGTGTAGTGAGATCCCTACCCTGTGACGTCAACTAACGGCTAGGTGTAGTGAGATCCCTACCCTGTGACGTCAACTAACGGCTAGGTGTAGTGAGATCCCTACCCTGTGAGTGTCACCTACCGGCTAGGTGTAGTGAGATCCCTACCCTGCGACGTCACCTAACGGCTAGGTGTAGTGAGATCCCTACCCTGTGACGTGTCACCTAACGGCTAGGTGTAGTGAGATCCCTACCCTGTGACGTGTCACCTAACAGCTAGGTATAGTGAGATCCCTACCCTGTGACGTGTCACCTAACGGCTAGGTGTAGTGAGATGCCTACCCTGTGACGTCACCTAACGGCTAGGTGTAGTGAGATCCCTACCCTGTGACGTGTCACCTAACAGCTAGGTGTAGTGAGATCCCTACCCTGTGACGTCAACTAACGGCTAGGTGTAGTGAGATCCCTACCCTGTGACGTCAACTAACGGCTAGGTGTAGTGAGATCCCTACCCTGTGACGTCAACTAACGTCTAGGTGTAGTGAGATGCCTACCCTTGTGGGCTCTGGTCCCTCACAGGAGTGCCGTGCAGTCTTTCAGGGTGGTGGTGCTGGTGCCTACTTCATTTCCGCTTGACGACGACTGCCGTACGATCCCGGACTTGTTAACGCTGGCGTAGAGGCCTTCGGGGACGTCGATGTCGGTGGTGTTGTCCTCTAGTGTTGTCTCTATCCGGTACTCAGGCTCCGGAGCTTCAGGCCCAAGCTGCATCACTGCATCCTGCCAACAACAGAGGAGGACCACAAACACTACACATGGGATTCGGGCTATGCACGTCCCTGTAATCTCTGTTTATGGAAGATCAATTCCTGAACAGTGAATAACATCATTAATCTTGTACTCTTGTGCACCTGTATATTGCTAGATATATAATTCAGTCTTCAGAAAAATAAGATTGGTTTGCAGACACGGGTTCACAACAAAATGAAACTGAAACTGAAAGTAAGCTGCAAGATTTCTAATCATCGAATGACAAGTAATTACCACGTTCCCCCACCCCCACCCCCCATCCCCATACACATTTCCGCGCCCTTTTCTAGAATGACTTTGAAGTGTATGAAAATATCCATTAAACGATCAGTAAGTAGAGACATTCTATTGCAAGGATAGAAACATACAACAAGGATAAGTAATTGTTTGTGACATTGGGACTCCAGTAGCACAACAATATCAGAGTTACCTCCCTTGCGTTAGCGCTCGCTCAGTTCTTCATGTGACTATTGCAGTGGATTAGTGGCTGAAAGCAAACGTGTGTGAGGGTGAGATGTAACAAGCTACAGGTGAACGTGGCTGAGGGTGAGATGCAACAAGCTACAGGTGAACGTGAGTGAGGGAGAGATGTAACAAGGTAGAGGTGAAGGTGGGTGAGGGTGAGATGTAACAAGCTACAGGTGAACGTGGGTGAGGGTGAGATGTAACAAGCTACAGGTGAACGTGGGTGAGGGTGAGATACAACAAGCTACAGGTGAACGTGGGTGAGGGTGAGATGTAACAAGCTACAGGTGACCGAGGGTGAGGGTGAGATGTAACAAGCTACAGGTGACCGAGGGTGAGGGTGAGATGTAACAAGCTACAGGTGAAGGTGGGTGAGGGTGAGATGCAAGTGTAGCGTGTATGATATCTTACCCTTTCTTCTGTGTGACGATCATTCCTGTAACAAGGATCATGTTTGTATTATCGAAAGATTTCCGTATAACATACATTAGTGTCGAACATTAGTCACTTAGTATTATCATGTACTTCAAACAAAACATATTTCCCCTCTGAACAGGTAACCTCCCATTACCCCTACATGCCACTACCCCTACAGCTTATAACAACATAGTTTATGGTCTGTTGCATAACTAATCTCCTGCCTGTTACCTATTCCATACAGTGGACTGGTCCACTTAAGATGCACAACATGACACAAGACAGATTTTAAAAGTGACTTTAATACATGTGTTATCACAAAGTACCACATCATTGAGATCAATTGTCAAGTTTTTCAGTCTATTTACATTCAGTGTTTTCATATCATCATATAAGGATGAACAAAGATCACATTATCACAAGTGTTTCATATCAACATATCAGGATGAGAGAAAGACCACATTATTACATTATCACAAGTGTTCAAGTGTCAGTGTTACAGTCTATCAAGCTTGAGCAGGTAGCCGACGGCGTCAAGAAACTGAAGAGGGGATTTCTGTCCACGCTGAAGCTGTTCCTTGAGTCTGCACAGACGGTTGTCGATCTCTCTGTACACTCGTTTTCTGTTTGTTGGCGCAGCACCAAAGTCAATCTGAGCAATCCTCACTCTCTCGGCGTGTTCGACTCTCCTGATGACTTCTACAAATCTGTAGATGTTCGGGTGCCTGTGTGGAATTTCTCGATTCAGACGGTTGTGGAATCCTTCCAGGTTGTTGTTTGTCCTCGGCCCAGCTGTCAAGTTGTGGTTCCACAGGTGAAGAAAAATCTGGCAGTGTCGTCGACCCATGTTGTCACGATGTAGTCGTTGAAGTCGCCAGCTCTTGGGACGTCAGGAGTGTCATCCATGGCTTCAATCCAAGTGTCTTGGACCGCGGCTTGAGGAAGTAGAGGTAGTCCAGCTGCTCTCCTGATCCACTTGGTGACTTCGGGGTTTTCCTTGTAGGCAACAGCTAGTCAAGATCCTGAACCTTCCTCCAGATGGCTTGACAGAAATGGAAGAAACAGCCCTTCACGTCAGCAGTGGGAAATTCTGTTTCTATGGCGTGGATTGCTGCTAGCTCAAAATCGGTCTGGATGCAGGCAGGATCAAGCGGTCTGTTGAGTCTCTGCTGAACTTCATCCTTGAGCAATCGGAAGAGTCTGGAGTAGGTTGTTGTCTGGCGGTCCGGAAGAAGGGCGAAGATGAGGGGATATGTTGAGCTGCCACGTCTTGCATGGATGATGTATACTTGATTCCACAGTGCAGGACAGGCTGTGAAAGTTCCATCCATGTAGAGGTTGTCAGCTGACTGCAAGGCTTCAAGACTCTCTTGTGTTCCGAAGGCCAAGATCTTGTCGTCATGGCCGTCCGCAAACAGGAGGAATGGTCTACCATCTGCTGTCTGCGTCCAGGGATCTTGGAGGTCGACTTCTGATCTCGTCTGTGGTAAGACAGGAATCGTCTTCTGGCGGTGGCGGTACAGGGCACTGCTAACAGATGGAAAGGAGGGCATGGTACGTGTCTCGTCATCAGTCAGGTTGGTAAGCTCGTTGTTGTAGATGGTGCGCATCGGTATTGACTCCTCCCTGGCTCTCTTCCTCAGGTTGCTGACAAACCGGACCTTCTGGCTATCCTCTGGTGGGTGATTGTGTTCAGTCGTATTTCTTACCACATCGCCAACAGTTGTGACTCTTCCTTTGCATGTTGACTGCACACACTTCCAGTGTACACAGGTCTGTCGCTCAACATTCTTAGTGTGAAGATATCCATCCAACAGAACTTGACGGCTACCTCTCCGTGACATAACAAACTCAACATTGCGAAGACCAGCCATGTTGATGCCATGTTTGTTTCATGTCAGCACTTATATACTGTATGGAACAATCTCAATTTCCTGTATCATCTCCACGTTTTATTTCTCTCAACTTCTCAACATTGTAATATATGTAACATTAAAGTGCACTATAACAACTTTTCTTAACAACATTTAGCAATCACAACACTTTTCCAATTGTATGTTTCTTCTACTCAGGGTTGAGGTTTGTTTTCATCATGAGACCACTAATTTCCTTGCCACAAAAGACTAATCACATTTATGCATCCCTTGATCTCATCTATGCTCCATGCACTAATCCCTCTTTAGGATTAGTCTATTATATCAGACAGGTAAATGCTAGGTGTTGTTTTAACTAGCTGTAGGGGTACTGGAGTGTAGGGGTAGTGGCATGTAGGGGTTATGGGTGTGAACCACGGTACTCGATATTCGATACACTGTACACGGTACACGGTACTCGATAGTCGATACACTGGCCACGGTACTCGATAGTCGATACACTGTACACGGTACTCGATAGTCGATTCACTGTACATGGTACACGGTAGTCGATACACTGTACACGGTACACGGTACTCAATAGTCAATACACTGTACACGGTACTCGATACACTGTACACGGTACACGGTACTCGATTGGCGATACACTGTACACGGTACACTATACATTTTCCTCCGGGAGAAAAACCTACCCCTGTCCGCTGTGATCTGGGTCGTCAGGTATTGCTCGGAGGAATGGCGGCTCAACTTCTTCATCACTTCGACTCTCTTCCGTTCGTGTTTTGGTATTAATTCATAACCAAAGGACCGGTAAATTGCGCCACTGCCAAGAAATGAGATTATTTTACATATACAAAACTGTTGCAATATATGATAAGCTTCATATTCTGTTAAAGAGTCTGTATTCGCTAGACGAAGGTATTTAAAGGCCGGTAATGATACGAGATAGTGGTTTAACTGGACGTGTATACCGCCATGTTTCAGTGACTCAAACGATCACCCTTGGTACGGACAATGATCACTTCTGGTTTCCATGATTAGTTTAAGACCATGTAAGGCATGGATCCGGTGGTTCCAATCTACCTGGTTGACTGAGTCAGTGTACCATGAGTGAGTGAGTGAGTTTAGTTGCTGCACTCAGCAATATTCCAGCTATATGGCAGCGGTCTGTAAATAATCGAGTCTGGACCAAACAATCCAGTGATCAACAGCATGAGCATCGATCTGCGCGTTTGGGAACCGATGACATGTGTCAACCAAGTCAGCGAGCCTGACCACCCGATCCCGTTAGTCGCCTCTTACGACAAGCATAGTCGCCTTAAGTAGCAAGCATGGGTTGCTGAAGACCTATTCTACCCCGTATCTTCACGGGTCCAGTGTACCATGACTAATTCCATATAAGGGTGGGACCTGGTGGTTCCAATCTCTCCGTTTGACTGAGTCAGTGTACCATGACTATGTGAATTGTTGTTATCAGCCATTTGTTTGTTCAAATGTTGTTCTATACCCAGGCCTTGCTAGATATACATAAACATTACTGTCTTGCTTCAGGTATGTTATGTCGTGAGCAGGTGGTGTTTGTAGGTAGCATATTAATGCCACGTTCATTTACATGCTGTCTAATTCTACACGTCATTCTTCGGGCCTGATACATTAAATACAAGGAATATAGAGAGCACTTACCAGTTGTAAAAAATAACTGCCATTGTTATACAGAGGATGAGGAGAAGGATGGCCACTGTGCAGCTGGCGATCAAGTAGTTGAGCTCGGTTTCAGCGGCGATCACTGAAACACATTCACAGCTTACGTTATTGGGATCCTCTAGATGTTACCAGTGTCGTACTTTGCTGAATACCACCATGTTGGTATTGGGTGTATGTCAACATAACACATACACTGTCATACTTTGCTGAATACTGCCATGTTGGTGTTGGGTGTATGTCAACATAACACATACAGTGTCTTACTTTGCTGGATATAGCCATGTTGGTGTCGGGTGTATGTCAACATAACACATACGGTGTCATACTTTGCTGGATACTGCCATGTTGGTGTTGGGTGTATGTAAACATAACACATACACTGTCATACTTTGCTGGATATTGCCATGTTGGTGTTGGGTGTATGTCAACGTATCACAAACACTGTCATACTTTGCTGGATATTGCCATGTTGGTGTTGGGTGTATGTCAACATAACACATACGGTGTCATACTTTGCTGGATATTGACATGTTGGTGTTGGGTGTATGTCAACATTACACATACAGTGTCATACTTTGCTGGATATTGCCATGTTGGTATTGGGTGTATGTCAACATAACACATACAGTGTCATACTTTGCTGGATATTGCCATGTTGGTGTTGGGTGTATGTCAACATAACACATACACTGTCATACTTTGCTTGATATTGCCATGTTGGTGTTGGGTGTATGTCAACATAACACATACACTGTCATACTTTGCTTGATATTGCCATGTTGGTGTTGGGTGTATGTCAACATAACACATACACTGTCATACTTTGCTGAATACTGCCATGTTGGTGTTGGGTGTATGTCAACATAACACATACACTGTCATACTTTGCTGAATACTGCCATGTTGGTGTTTGGTGTATGTCAACATAACACATACACTGTCATACTTTGCTGGATACCGCCATTACGCGGAGTGATACTCAGGTCACGGTAACCACAATGCGGAAGTTTCCATAGTGACGTATAGTGTCAGATTTCATCAGTGTCATGAAACGGTTATGAAGTAAATACAGAACGTCACACCAGTGCCTTTATACCTAACGTGTTGAACTAAAAGATGTCATGGTTGGAGAGAAACAACGACTTCGAAGAACTATCTATAATGTGCTAGTTTGGCGTTCTGTATATTTGTTTAACGTCCTACAACAGGGGAGAAATGGGAGAAGTGACGGGGCCCCAAAACACGATAACATTCCCTGGGCCACAACCGAAAACATAATAACATGGTCAAGGTCCCACACCCAAACACGATAACATGGTCAAGGTCCCACATCCAAACACGATAACATGGTCAGTGTCCCACACCAAAACACGATAACATGGTCAGGGTCCCACACCAAAACATGATAACATGGTCAGGGTGCCACACCCAAACACGATAACATGGTCAGGGTGCCACACCCAAACACGATAACATGGTCAGTGTCCCACACCAAAACATGATAACATGGTCAGGGTGCCACACCCAAACACGATAACATGGTCAGTGTCCCACACCAAAACACGATAACATGGTCAGTGTCCCACACCAAAACACGATAACATGGTCAGGGTCCCACACCAAAACATGATAACATGGTCAGGGTGCCACACCCAAACACGATAACATGGTCAGGGTGCCACACCAAAACATAATAACATAGTCAGGGTGCCACACCCAAACATGATAACATAGTCAGGGTGCCACACCAAAACACGATAACATGGTCAGGGTCCCACACCCGAATACGATAACATGGTCAGTGTCCCACACCCAAACACGATAACATGGTCAGGGTCCCACACCCAAACATGATAACATGGTCAGGGTGCCACACCCAAACACGATAACATGGTCAGGGTCCCACACCCAAACACGATAACATGGTCAGTGTCCATCACCCACACCAAAACACGATAACATGGTCAGTGTCCCACACCAAAACACGATAACATGGTCAGGGTGCCACACCCAAACACGATAACATAGTCAGGGTGCCACACCCAAACACGATAACATGGTCAGTGTCCCACACCAAAACATGATAACATGGTCAGGGTGCCACACCGAAACACGATAACATGGTCAGTGTCCCACACCAAAACACGATAACATGGTCAGTGTCCCACACCAAAACACGATAACATGGTCAGGGTCCCACACCAAAACATGATAACATGGTCAGGGTGCCACACCCAAACACGATAACATGGTCAGGGTGCCACACCAAAACATAATAACATGGTCAGGGTGCCACACCCAAACATGATAACATAGTCAGGGTGCCACACCAAAACACGATAACATGGTCAGTGTCCCACACCCGAATACGATAACATGGTCAGTGTCCCACACCCAAACACGATAACATGGTCAGGGTCCCACACCCAAACACGATAACATGGTCAGGGTGCCACACCCAAACACGATAACATGGTCAGGGTGCCACACCCAAACACGATAACATGGTCAGTGTCCATTACCCACACCAAAACACGATAACATGGTCAGTGTCCCAAACCAAAGCACGATAACATGGTCAGTGTCCCACACCCGAACACGATAACATGGTCAGGGTCCCACACCCACACCAAAACACGATAACATGGTCAGGGTCCCACACCCAAACACGATAACATGGTCAGGGTCCCACACCAAAACACGATAACATGGTCAGGGTGCAACACCCAAACACGATAACATAGTCAGGGTGCCACACCCAAACACGATAACATGGTCAGTGTCCCAAACCAAAACATGATAACATGGTCAGGGTGCCACACCGAAACACGATAACATGGTCAGTGTCCCACACCAAAACACGATAACATGGTCAGTGTCCCACACCAAAACACGATAACATGGTCAGGGTCCCACACCAAAACATGATAACATGGTCAGGGTGCCACACCCAAACACGATAACATGGTCAGGGTGCCACACCAAAACTTAATAACATGGTCAGGGTGCCACACCCAAACATGATAACATAGTCAGGGTGCCACACCAAAACACGATAACATGGTCAGTGTCCCACACCCACACCAAAACACGATAACATGGTCAGGGTCCCACACCCAAACACGATAACATGGTCAGGGTCCCACACCCAAACACGATAACATGGTCAGGGTGCCACACCCAAACACGATAACATGGTCAGGGTGCCACACCCAAACACGATAACATGGTCAGTGTCCATTACCCACACCAAAACACGATAACATGGTCAGTGTCCCAAACCAAAGCACGATAACATGGTCAGTGTCCCACACCCAAACACGATAACATGGTCATGGTGCCAGACCCAAACACGATAACATGGTGAGGGTCCCACACCAAAACACGATAACATGGTCAGTGTCCCACACCAAAACACGATAACATGGTCAGGGTCCCACACCCACACCAAAACACGATAACATGGTCAGGGTCCCACACCCAAACACGATAACATGGTCAGGGTCCCACACCAAAACACGATAACATGGTCAGGGTCCCACACCCAAACACAATAACATGGTCAGGGTGCCACACCCAAACATGATAACATGGTCAGTGTCCCAAACCAAAACATGATAACATGGTCAGTGTCCCACACCCAAACACGATAACATGGTCAGGGTGCCACACCCAAACACGATAACATGGTGAGGGTCCCACACCAAAACACGATAACATGGTCAGGGTCCGACACCAAAACATGATAACATGGTCAGGGTGCCACACCCAAACACGATAACATGGTGAGGGTCCCACACCAAAACACGATAACATGTCAGGGTGCCACACCCAAACACAATAACATGGTCAGTGTCCCACACCCAAACACGATAACATGGTCAGTGTCCCACTCCAAAACATGATAACATGGTCAGGGTGCCACACCCAAACACGATAACATGGTGAGGGTCCCACACCAAAACACGATAACAGAGTCAGGGTCCCACACCAAAACACGATACCATGGTCAGTGTCCCACACCAAAACACGATAACATGGTCAGTGTCCCACAACAAAACATAATAACATGGTCAGGGTCCCACACCAAAACATAAGAACATAGTCAGGGTGCCACACCCAAACATGATAACATAGTCAGGGTGCCACACCAAAACATAATAACATAGTCAGGGTGCCACACCCAAACATGATAACATAGTCAGGGTGCCACACCAAAACATAATAACATAGTCAGGGTGCCACACCAAAACATAATAACATAGTCAGGGTGCCACACCCAAAGATGATAACATAGTCAGGGTCCCACACCAAAACATAGTAACATGGTCAGGGTCCCAAATCAAAACATGATAACATATTCAGGGTGCCACACCCAAACACGATAACATGGTCAGGGTGCCACACCCAAACATGATAACATAGTCAGGGTGCCACACCCAAACACGATAACATGTCAGGGTGCCACAACCAAACACGATAACATGGTCAGTGTCCCACACCAAAACACGATAACATGGTCAGTGTCCCACATCAAAACATGATAACATGGTCAGGGTCCCACACCAAAACACGATAACATAGTCAGGGTACCACACCCAAACACGATAACATGGTCAGGGTGCCACACCCAAACACGATAACATGGTGAGGGTCCCACACCAAAACACGATAACATAGTCAGGGTCCCACACCAAAACACGATAACAGGCCTCGCCCTCTCTCAAATACCTCATACTATGTCTACACACTGATGACCCATTCAACACATGTATTCATAATTATTAACCCGTAATGTAGACATCAGCAGCCACGCCCTTTGACGTTAGAGAAATGTAGTTTCCGACCTGAACCTGGATACGGTTGTTTCCTAGCCAGACAAGTGTGTTCAATACGGAGTGTTTACCTGATGCTAGACTGCCCGTATTGTGGGACATGTGGATGGTACACCGCTCGTTCATCTTGTGTCCCAGCTCAATACAGAGGGCTGTGTGTCTCATAGCAGCCATAGAGACATAGTCCATATTACACTTGCTTACAGATGATTACATTATCAGTGCTCAAAATTTGACCAAACATATA